GTGTAGGATTTTCGTGTGAACATTTTAAGTTTTTGGTTTTTTATAGGGTCAAACGTCCAAGCAAGCCTTATGATAGTTTCATGTTAATTTTTTCAAAAACTGACAAATTGTTTTTAACTGAGTGGCTGTACAATTTTTACCATCAGCAGCTATGTATGAGTCATCTACTTTTTGAAACATTCTCATCAGCATTCAAAAGAATGAATGTGCTTAGTAAAGGTACAGCTCCTGAGTGCCAGGCCCAATACATACTTTTTTGATATGAGATCTAGAACTGTATTTAAAAGTTAGCTCTGAACCAATGATTGAGAATCATTCTCTCTCTGGGGTTCAATAAATCATATTCAATTTTGAGAAAAAATAAATTTGATGTTTTATATCCAAAGAGGACAGTAGTCAAAGGGATTAAAATTCTGGTGATTAATTATAGAAAATATGATTTGGAAGAAACATGGTTTACACTTTTAAAACTTAATGTAACTATACAGGGGTTCTAGCAATCTTGGACTATATGATCATGTGAGAAAATGTGAATGAATACAAAAAGGAAGATATATCAAGTAGCATAAATTAATAAAAGGCTGATAGTTCATAAATTCTGATTATGAGACATTTTAGAGGACACTAATGAAGTTTATTTCTATGTGTAAGGCAAGAAAGAAGAACAACTGGGAAAGAACAAGTGGGAAAAGGCTATTATTTCTTACACATAGAAAAAAATCAACAAATGTCAACTTTAATCTCAATCACACCAAATAAAACATCTGCAAACAATCATGGTTAAGATGCACATGAGATATGTAAATATAATGCATTCATTTAATAGGATAGATTTCAGAAACATTTCCAATGTCATAAAATGTCTGTTTGTGTACATAACTATCTTATATGTGTATGTATATTCTTGAGGTGATATGCTTCATAATGTTCACTACAATCTGAAATAGTCTGATGCTAAGTAGTTTAGCATGTTAATTGCTTTTTTATTTATTTTTTTTTATTTTATTTTTTTTCATTTTTCTTTTATTATTCATATGTGCATACAAGGCTTGGTTCATTTCTCCCCCCTGCCCCACCCCCTCCCTTACCACCCACTCCACCCCCTCCCGCTCCCCCCCTCAATACCCAGCAGAAACTATTTTGCCCTTATCTTCCTCCAATTAAAGTTTAAAACATGAAGGAAATGACTTGCTACTTTTGGTACACTTTCAACGTGATATTTTCTGTAAGGACACATTTTTGAGCATCTGTTATCCAACTAATACAGGAACTAAATGTAAAATAAAATGGTACTTGTTCTCAAAAAGCTCACGCACTGAAACCAGCAAAATAAATTATGTAATAGTGGTAATAATATCAGTAATCTGGTATTTTGAGATCAAGAAAAATAGCACATAAATGGTTAAGTTCTATTTCCTTTTAAAAACAACAATGTTGTTGAGGTTAGATGATCTTTCTTCACTGAAGTCATCAATGTCTGCAATATGTGCTTGCAATTCACATCACATGTTTGAAAATAAAAACTCAAGACTAAATCATGAATAGAATTAGCTTATGTTTGTAAGTATGACACAGGGTTTTCCTTGAGATTCCAGATGATTAAAGAACTATTGCATGACTTAACTCCAGAGTTTCCTAAATGTCCTTCCCTGCTAAGAACTTTTGATTGCGTTCAAAGCAAACACACTCAGACACACATGCATGTACAATACAAACACCCTCCATTATATTAAGTTTTCTGAATAATGAACTCAAGAACCAATTTTCAAAATATTGGAGAATTTTTGAAGAAGTCATGTAGCTTTTTATTTCCTAGAACTTAGACTATTTATTTTCATTAACCTCATCAAATTCCAGGAAAAAAATTTTGTTCACCATTACTCTTCACAGTATGGGTATATTACCCAGTAATTTGGGGAATTAAAATTAAAAATAAATCAAATGATTATAAGAGAAACAAATGCATAGCATGAGCAGACATGATGTTCTAATGAAAGAAATTTGCATGCAAGCTTTTGTTCATAAACATAAGAATTTACTTAAGGATGAAATCTTGACGTGTACTCTCAAGACAGGATGAATCTATTAGTGCAGTTAAGTACTTGCAGACCTCATTCACTTCCAAATACTTCACTAAAGCCGGAAACAAGACAATTCCTGGCTTGTAAAAGAGAGCAAACCACCCTAAAACATCTGGCATACTTACACACTTCTCACTGTCAAATACATAGCACAAATGTTTATTTGACTCAGAATCTTTGCATATGAAAGTGAATATCCTCTTGTCAGTTTTATCGTCTGCACAAAATGATATCCTATGAAGCTGGCAATTGTGCTGGACTTCCTGTGAACATAAATGAAATTAATATAGTTGATGGCATTTCATCCATTTTATGAAATACAAGCTTGTGTTAATAACTCATAACTTATGATTTTAAAAGTATAACAATGATCTGTCCATCCTTGGTTTTATACATACACCCAAAGTTAAACAAATACAGCATGGAGATAGGCTTCCTGATTCAGGATTTAAATCAAGATAGTCATTTCAGTAGTAGTTAGAAAAATACAAGTATAAGACAATAGGATCAAAGGTTCACAGACATTTTGAGCTACAAAGGCTCTTAAGACACCATTTGGTTTAAACTTTGCAAGTTTTTATAGGAGGCCCAGAGATGAAGAGTCAGCAGAATCCATTTTAATCCAAATTCTTTTCATCTTATGCCATTGTTACTAACCAGCATTATAATTTAGAACACAGCCTCATCTGCATAAAATGCCATTATGAAACATACTATTATTTCATCTTTAGTTATAAATATCTTCATGGTTACTCATACACTCTTGAACCTTTTCTGTTAAAGATGGTCATCCTTGCAACTTCAGTGGTATTTCTTTGAGACCAGCCTCCAAATGACTGAATAAATCCTGATAGTCAGTAGAAAGAAAAATACCACGACCAGACAGATATAGTTGCTGCACACACACGAGGGCAGACACACACACACACACACACACACACACACACACACACACACACAGAATTATAAAACTAAAAGATAAAGTATATACTTAACTAAAATAAAAATATTTCTGTAAAATAATTGAATAAGGAAGGTTTAAAACTTACTTTCCTTAGGCAAAAGAGCAAGCAGGTGATACTAAAATACAGATCATCTGTCCTACATATTTATCTCCAAATTTGGAGGTAGAAAAAATCTTTTTATCTAACTATGATGCAAATAAGTAAAAAAAAATCAATCATTCCCTTTTCCATTGTGGCTATAAATAATTTTTTTTCAAAATCCATTTAAGACTCAGAATATCTCTCAGAAACAGGTTACCCACATTATTTAGTGTATATCATAAAAGGTTAAAGATGCAGCAATTACAGATTCACACAAGGAAGATGAGGTGAATACATCCCCAGTAAACTTTATTTCAAGTTGTACCTAGTAGTGTTTCTCTGAAGGTAGTTTCTGGTAACTTGTGGTACAATACTTGGGGTACCTGTTATAAACATTTTCCTTGAATTCAGCAAGCTGAATCATAATTTCAGAGATTTTGATCAAAGTGTCAGTACCTTCTCTTTCCAAGCTCAGAGTTTGATGTTGGCTTGCTGAGATTTTAGCCAGCACTTGTATTTGCATCATTATTCATCAGATTAAAAACGTGTGAACAAGATGAGTTAGACAAATGAATGCTAAGATAATTGGTCTACAGCAGTGCATTTCTCTGAATATAAACTAAATGGCAAACCATCAAGCAGTTGCTTGACAAACTTGAAAATTAAAATGAGAAGTATATTGCATCACTGTAATGTATACTATCATTGCTAGATAGCCTGATACATTCACTTGAACAGTGAAAAACAGAACAGTGAAAAAAGAGTGCTCAACTTACAGAGACATTTTATTAATGGACACTAATTACACAGACTAATAGGTTCTACTGTGACATTTTCATATATGCATTTAACCAGACCCACCCCCGCTGACCACCCTTATCTTCTCTCGCTTCTCCCAGTCCCTCCAATCACCTTCCTCTTCGCTTAATACTCTCTTTTCTATTTTCATCTTATGATTTTTTTTTGGTTGTTTTTAACATAGACTTTTGATGAGGTAATCATTTATACTGGCCAGTGCTGAGAGAGACAATGGCCACATTGGTCTGAGACTTTTTCTTAAAGTTTTTCCCCGTTGTCAGTCTCCTTTCATATTTTCTTACTAATGTCAGTATAGTCAATTAAATAATATCCCTCAGCTGCCCTTCAGCTGCTAAAACTGACAGTGTATATTCATTATATGACTATATCATGGTAATGACAAATAAAGAGGAAATATAATGGCTATGCAATATAGAATGTGGATTTCTTTTTTCTGTTTATAGTAGAAATCATAAATGATGTGTAAAACACACTGTTTACATAGCTGGTGGTGAACTCTCCAAGTCATTCACTCACCCAGTAACCAGTATGATCAGAGAAAGCCTTGGACTATGAAAGGGAGGAAGGAAGGAAGGAAGGAAACAAGGAAGGAAGGAAGGAAGGAAGAAAGGAAGATAGATTTAGGAACTAATTGTTACAGAGATTGCTTTTGCTTCCATTTTCGCCCACCCAAGTAGGAAAGAAAAATATTTATTGTCTATAAAGAAAGTCCATATTACATCAATAATGCATTTAAAATCATGCCACATACACATATTTAATAATATAATATAACAATATAATACTCTTATAACTAATTGGTTTTTCCCCTATAGTACAACTTATCCTAAAATAAAATGGATGGCAGATATTTTTTTCTGGGTCATTCATGTCTTCAGCAGTAGTGGTTTCTAAATATATGTGTATGAATAGGCTATGTCAATTACATGAGTTCTTTCTTCAGTTATGTGAAAAGTCTCTCTCTCTTACACACACACACAGACACACACACACACACCAGACCTTTTCGTGCCAGTTGTGATTTCGAGACACTCAAGCAGACTCTAGAAATTAACATTCTTAAGAGTGTCCTGACCACTGATGCTTAGATGACCTTCATTTTTTATGGAATCAAAAATAATACTTTCTGTATATATAGGTAAAGAGTAGATACTTTAAATCTGTGTTCACATGAATAGATAAGTAAAAGCAATTTGTTATATATTAATATGTAATATAATTGAACTTACAAAGCATCTCAAAGATTTTAAACTCCAGGATTGCTCTTTAGATCTGAAAGGGATGAAAATCTAGGGCTTCTTTCCCATTAAAAGCATAGAAAACTTAGGTTTGTTTTTTTTTTTTTTTTGGAGGGGGGCATTTAAAACATAGCTGTTAAATAAAAGAATTTGAGAGTTTTGGACAGGGAAGAAAAAACTTACATTACTGATTTGAGTAAACCCTATACCAGTCATTTGGCTAGTCCTCTTGAGTTGAACTCCGCCTTCACAGATACTGTGGGAGGCATGAAGATTTGAAGTGAAAGCTTAAGGAACTGAATGATAGGCTGAAAAGCTGGCAATAAGAGATACTGATTGAAATTTGAAAATACTGTTTTCTAACAATAAAATAGTAGGCAACAGTCATCCTTTTTTTTCATTTTTGCCTGTATTCTTTCATCACCATGACTTTTTCTAAGTACAAGTCAATTTTTGAGTCTATTCACATCTCTTTTTCTTTACAATATCACCCATTGTTCTTTTTTCCTATTTACATTTTTATAAGTTTAAAAAATTTTCTCTTTATTTCACATAAGAGATGCAAAAGAAAAACCTGGAGAGTGGATAGAACAAAGGCTGTTAACTGGGTTTTGTAAAGGTAGGTTTCCCCACATGGTCAGCAGGTTAAGACAAAGCAAACAGATACAAAAATTAAAGTGGCTGATGGAAGTCTTTATAAGAACTTTCACAATTCTTTCACTGTAGAAATATTATCACACTGCACACACATGATATTAGTGGTAGGCATTTTGTAGTATTTTATATTTTCATATTTTGTACTCCTCAAAGGACATGCCATCATTAAACTGTCAACTCTAAAGACTAAAGTTACATCATATATATATATATTACATTTGATAATATTTATATTGTTTAAATATTTAATTCTATTTAATCAGTTGGTGGAAAATTTGAGGATTTGTTCAATAATATGCAAATGATTTAGCAGATTATAGTATATAGATTACAAATATGTACTTGGTAAAATTGTTATATACTAGGATGTACCATGAGTAGATGCAAACCAAAAGAACAAAGATACAAAAAACATGTTACACAAAGCATATTTTAAATCTTACATATTATTTATATAAAAACTTAATCAACAATTAATTACTGTCTTTCTCTCTCTCTCTCTCTCTCTCTCTCTCTCTCTCAAACCAGATAAAGAATCCACCCAAAACAAGGCCTATAAATGATCTATTTTGGCTGGACATTTGCCACCATATACTCACTGAATTTGAAAAAGGAAATCCAGAAATAGAAGCACTTTTCTTTTTGATTGCATGTAAGCCTACAGTCAGGTTGCTACACTTTGGGTTGTACTGTCCTTCATAACTTGTTGCTTCCTTAGCCTATTGTCCATTTTGTAACTACCATTTACCTAAGGAATTTTTCTCATCTGTTCAGAAATAATTCCTTATTTTTAACTGCCTTGTTTCTGAGCAAACTACATATATTTCATTATGTATTTAAATTATGCTTTCACTACCCCTTCACCACTTTGTGTTTTCTGTTTCCAGCCACTTCAGCAGAAGCAGTTATTTTGGGATAGCCATAACTAAAGTTTCCATGTCTTTGGTTGTTATTTAACATTGAGGAAGGATAATAGGAGGATACTAGACAGTCTAATTGTAGAAGGTCTTATACTCCTGCCTTGAAAAGTTTGAAGGAAGGCCATTCTTTTTCAGTATGGAATTAAAGAATGGTAAAGATGGGTGTACTTACGCCATACTCCAATTGTTCTTAAACGGACAACATATGTAAAATTTCCACATTGAGAAATTATGATTCTGCACACACATATGGGTCTTTAAAACACATTTCTGCAACTGCCCCAGGCAATTTTAATGGAGTTATACCATGGACTACTGACAATGAAGCATACTGTCTATAGCTATCAAACTATGCAGGATACCAGAGTTCCTCAAACTTCAATGTGTACACAAATTTTGTTTTGTTTTGTTTTGTTTTTTGGTGGATTAGAGATTTAGAAATCCTAGAGTGGAGCTTGTCTTTAGCTGCTACTATCCCAGTAGATGCTGGTGCTGCTGGTCCCCTGAGTGCTGATTCTGAGCTGACATTCACATTAATGAAAGTATCAGTGGCACCTGCTGGGCTGATCAATGTCACAGAGTTGGAAAAGAATTTAAAAAGATTTTTCAGGGGCTGGTGGAGTGACTCAGGTGCCTGCCTAACAAGCATGAGGCCCTGAGATCAAATCTCACTACCCACCCCCCCAAAAAACAGAATTTTTCAAAATTCACAAGCTAGGTTTCCTTTGTTTTTCTAATAAATTATTTATGAAATTAATTCATGAATAAGCATCTATGATATTAGAAGAAGCTTTGAAAATTAATATTTATAAAATAATTGAGTATGTTAATAAAATACTCTGAATTATGGTTTTAGAAAATTATGAAATAATTTTGAAGCATTTGTAAATAAACTGTTACAGTAGTGGGGCTGCCATCACAAAATACCATAGACAGGGTTACTTAAACAACAGAAATTAATTTTTTCACAGTTCTGGAAGTTAAGAGTCCAAGATCAAGGCATCAGGTTTGGTTTCTTTGAGACTGCTCTGGCTTATAGATTAAGTGCCTTCTTGCTTTATCTTCCCATGGCCTTTCCTCTGGTTGAAGTCCTAAACCCCACTACGTCAAATATGACTGTATTTGAAATATAAAAGAATTTGTTTCAAATTCCTATACAATAAACTGCAACCTAAGTTGTTATGTAGACAAAACCTAGCTAAGAGTATAACAAACATCAGAGTTTTAGCCAACAATAGCAGATAGGCTAGCCAATCACAGGACGCCAAATTATTATATCATGCCCAAAGAAGGCACCTAACTGCAGCCAATTTTTTTGCTTTGCTTTGCTCGTGCTCAGGCTGGCAGATGAAGCTCTCTGACCCTCTTTGGGTTCTGAGTGCTGTTAAACCTAAATGCTGTTAAACTTGGTTTGTCTAACACTTCTCTTTTAAGAGGAGATAAGGCCTTTTAAAAAATCAGAAGTAAAAATGATGCCATTATTGTGCTCTCTAGTCCAATATGACTGATGTACTGATAAGAAGAAAAAACTGGACATACAAGGAGTCACCAGAACTGTGTGAGCACAGAGGGAAAACTACAAAGAGGCAGTCATCTGGAAGCAAGGGGAGAGGCCTCAGAGGGAAGCAATTCTGTGAGCATTTTGATTGTGGGGCTCCAGCCTCCACAACAGTGAAGAAAAATTTCTGTGTTTAAGCCACATAGTCTGTGCTATTTTGTTATGGGAGCCTTAGAAAACTAATACATGATTATGTCTAGAGGTAATGAAAATCAGGTAGACTATTTTAATAAATAACCATACAGCTTTTGTATTTTTTTCTACTCAGTGAAGCATACTATGCATGTCTCTTTTTTATCAAGTGAATAAAAATGTCTAAATACAAGTGTTAACACTGTGGAATACAATTAAAGTAAGTTATTGCATCCTATATACAGGCTGAGGAAAAAGATATTCAGAAAGAAATTCCAAAAGTTGTTTCCACTCCTAAAAATCCTATAGAGGTTTAAGTCATTGTTAACCAGGAACTAATAAGTTCAAGTTGGTAGTAAATTTGAAACATTCATTAAAATACACATATAATTACAATTAATTAAGAATTAGAGTGCTCTGATACTCAATAAGCCTTACCTTTGTTTTGGGTTCTAGAATTTTTACTCCATAAATTGATATTTGCAACTCAACTTTAGGAATTTTCTGGCCTTCAGATTTCTTGATATGTCTTGCAAACTACAAATGAAAAATCATTCACAAAACTGTAATTCTGTTCTTGTGAAGAATACATATGAATATAAATTTTGAGTTGTGGTCAATGTTAGGGGTTCATTAAATGAAATATTGCCAATTATGAAGTATTTTATAAAAGCAGTCTCAAAATATTTAGAAATCATATCAGGCTACCATTATAACTCAGATTGATTTTTGGAAACTTTTTTAAAACATGATTTTAAAGATACTTTTCTATAATATTTGAAAAACTGAATTCATACCAGACTATGAGAAAACAAACACTGTCAGATGATGCACAGAGTTTAATCCCTTTTTCTGTGGATTTTTTGCTTTTACTATATTTAGAGAATTTGCAATTCACCACCAGTTTCTGGATATGCTATCTTTGTTATTGCTGCATGTTTACCTATTCAATGAACAAAACAACAAACTACCATATCTGAATAGGTAACAATTACAGTAATTACCCCAACTAAAAGAGTCAGGCATAGATCTAGACTCAGCCTAGAATTAAATAAATATAGTATCTTGAAAACAAACAATTGTCAGTGGTTTTGGAGTAGTACTAATTATATTTTTCATTAACTTAAAGTATATATAAATGTGTGTTAGGTTCTGTTATAACATTTTATAAAGTCAAAAAGAAAATCAGAATTCTCATGCACTTGATAGATGGACTTTCAATCCAGTTTTGTTGGATTTGTTGGTAGAAAAATTATAGGAGCCCAGTTGAATCTGAATATTAAACAATGAAAATATTTATAAAAGTTTTACTTTAAAATGCACAACATACATACATACATATGCACACACACACACGTATTTCTATACTGTTTAGTGTATGTCCTGACTTTTCTTCTCTGCTCTCTCCCCATCTTTCTTTCTAAGAAAAGAAAAAACTCTTTTTTTAAATAAATATTTTTCAACTCTCTTCTAGGGTTTCTAAGTTATTGTCTACTATAACATTTTTCAGCATATGCAAAGTCATCTTAACTTGCCTCAAAATAGATCATATGTAAGACAAGGAGGGCTCCTTTCCTCTTGTGTGTCACATTTACTTGCATTGTGCATTTCACTCTAATTTATGGCAGATGTGAATACACATGGTGTCGTTTGGTCCTGGAGCAGAGTTGTTAAAAGCCTTTTTCTTTTTTCATGGCTTTGCGCTGCCAGGGAGAGTAACATAATTAATGCACACATGAATGCCTTGAAATGTCTGCCCTCATACCCCAGGGGGTACGGTTTGTTTTATTCCATGTTGGGTGGTATAACTTTTCAGCTTGCTGTCTTTCCTGCTCTGTGAGTGCACACTTCTTTTTTTTTTTTTCTTTTCTGTATCCAGCAGTCTTACATCCTGCACAATTCAACCAACTTGTTCCAGGTAATTTTTTTTTCCTGTCTTTAAGAAACATGTTTTACCTCAATGCAGATCAAAATTTATATCCACTATCTTCCAAAGAATGTGTATTAACTTTCTTTTCCCTTCTTAATATCCTTCTTGAATTGGAACAATTAAACAATTTAGAGGCTTTCACCTTTAAAGGCCTACAAAATACATCAGCAGCTCTACACCAATGTGAAGGTTTCTGAGGAAAGCAAATCCAGTTGTTGACTACAGAACCATTTTAAGTTTTCTTCCTTGTTTCTTCTGCTTTCAGTGAACACACAAAAAAATAATGGATTTGGAAACCTCTACATCTGCACACAACCATTCCTGTGACCTCTGGCAAGAATTGTGCAAACTCTTACTTGCAAAAAGTCCTCCATAACACAACCAGGAGTATTAAACTTAACTGTTGCAAAGGAATGAAAAAAATGGAAGAAATGAAAAAAAGAAGGAAACTGGGTTGATGTTAGAAACACACACATACACAGAGGAGTATGGAGGAAGGAAGGAGAAAGGAAAGGGAGAGGCAGGAGAGGAGAGAAAACATAAAACATCTGATGCAAGTTTCCTGAATCCTTTCTTTCTGCTTATTATCAAGATGAAATAATATCTCAAAGAAGCCTCAGAGATACCCAATCCAACCAGCCATCTCAAAGAAGAGAAAAAATATGTCTCAGAGAAGTTTTGTATCTTGATCATAAAATGGGTTTACAACAATTAAGCCTAAAAGCTCCTTTTGCAGATATGCATTCAGTAAACTTTTGCTTTTACACAGCACATCTCTGCATCTAAAAAATAAAATTTCCAGTTCTATTTTCCTGTGTATCAACATTTATACTGTTTTTTGAACTTGGTTGAGGAATATATTATACAAAACTCTTGTGTCCAAGGCTATAGTCATTAAATTTCTATTTTAAACAGTTTGATATTCTTCTTCCCCCCTAGGACTTAAGCTTACTCTTTGGTACAGTTGCATGCTCCCCTTTAACTCCCATCCCTTTTTCTATTAGTAAACTGCCTAACTGTGTTCCTAACTACTTCTAATTTGGAAGACATGGAATGTTAGACTAATCAACCTATAAATTTTCCAACATACTATTTTTTTCTCTTTGCATTATTTTAATGTTAATGTTTGAAGAGTTGTCTTTCAAATTTCTTTTAATTTTTGTTTTAGTGAAAATGAAATTCACTCCATTAACAATACTATTAAATACACTGAAGCTGAAAGGGTTTTTAAATTACTAATTCTGAAACATTTGGCATTTTCTCAAATCTCAAGCTAAAACATGATTAAGAAATAGAATTGTGGAACATGACAGAAATTGAAATATTACATGTTGTTTTGACAAATACAGAATGTGAAAGTAAAACTTTAACATTTACAAAAATTATTACATTCAAGAGTTCATAAACTACAAATTCTCCAAAAATGACATAAAATAGTAAGAACTTAAAGTTTTAATTTTTTTCTTAAAAACTATCCAGGCATCTTGAAACACAGAAGTATAAGAATTTCACAACTAAAAATTCTTCAAGTTTTCCATCAGCTTGTATTATTTTTGAAGTTTGAATTCTTCATGTCAGAAGCTAATACATTGAAAAGGGATAAATGTAAAGAAAGTTAACTTCTGTGGCAAATACAATCAAATGCTAAAGCAAAGTAGATTTTAAAAATCACATGTATTTGAGGAAAAATAAGCAGAAAATTAAAATGGGGTTATGTACACATGGCAGTTAAGGAGCAAATTTCCTTTTTTTAGTAGAGCCATACTACCACCTGCTGGTCATTTCTACATGGCAGCAAAATTTTAAAAGGAGCCAGGTTCAACTTTTCAAAAAAAAGTTGCAAATGTTCTTGAGATACTTTGTATTGTAGTCTGACCTCTGACACAAATAAACAATAAAAGTGGATAAGGATAATTGCTTTTACACAGCACATCTCTGCATCTAAAAAATAAAATTTCCAGTTCTATTTTCCTGTGTATCAACATTTATACTGTTTTTTGAAATTGACTGAGGAATATATGATACAAAACTCATTCTCATTAGTACATGAATCTTCATGGTTAAATATAATTTCCTGAGATACAAAGTTTTTGAAACTAGTAAAGATTAATTATTAAATGCATATTTATCCTAGAAAACACTTGAGACAAAAGCAACAATCAACTAAGTATGTGTTTTCAAGCTATACTGCATAGTTGTTATCTACTGTAAAACATATTCCTTTATTAATTGAGTATATTTCTAGGTATGAAACTACAAGGAACCTTATATAAAATCCCACAAAAATATATGTGAATGTGTCATTTTTTAGAAAGCATTTAATCGCAAATACCTCTTTACATTTGATCTACTTGTTATGAAATTGAATTCTTTTAGTTTTGGATTCGGGTTGGCTGAATAAAGAAAGAAGAAAATAGAGATGAACCAATTTGTATATATAATACATATCTACATGCAAATGTCACAAGGAGACTCCCTGTATAGCTATCTTAAACAAACAAAAATGTCATTTTTTTTCTTTTACAAAATTGGAGCACAGGAGGGAGGAACAGGTCCTTTGGTGGGTAGGGTATTGGTACCAGTGGGAAGGGGGAGGATTTGAGGAAAGAGTGTAGGAGGGTGAATATGGTGCAAATACTCTGTACACATGTATGTAAATGGAAAAATAAGACCTGTTGGAACTATTCCAGGAATGGGGAGAAGGGTTAAAAAAGAGAATGATGGAGGGGGTGAGTTCAAGTATGATATATTTGATATAAAGTAAGAACTTTTATAAATGCTACAATGTACTCCCACCCAGCACAGCACTAAAAATCACCCTAGATACATTTCAAAACAATTAAAGAGTAAACACTTTTTTTTTTTTAGAAAGCATTCTGATTACAGTGAAGTTGGAGTGTTGGACTGAAGCCCAGAATTTGCAACATTTTGAAAATATTTAAATTGAATTCTATTCTAAATGTCCTCCATAAACTGTGAGGTCTTTTAAATTCTCTATTCGTGATAAACAAAATTGGTCAAACAAGCATGAGTCTTAATTATTACCCAATGAGTAGTGAAAAAAATGGTGAGCTAGCCCACTTGTTTTCCAAATACAAGCAATGCTATCTTTGGATCCTGTCAAATGTTTAGTTAAAAGAATTATGTGAAATATTTAAGTATAAAATTAATGGGTCAAGCTGAGAAAGAATGACTCAAATGGCAGAGTGTCTGCCTAGCAAGTGCAAAGTCCTGGGTTAAAAATCCAGTACCACCAAATAATAATAATAATAATAATAATTGTAAATAAAAGTATTTACCTTTATTTCTTCATTGATAATACAAGTCATTCCATTTCAATTTTTCTTCAATTTAAGTAAAATTTAAGTAGAAGAGATTCCATCTGGTATGACTTTCTTAAAGCAAGTTAATACTCTTTATTATTCATGATTTTACCTGAACAGTCAGGGGCCTACCCCTACTGTGGAACAACTGGGTGACTTCTAAACCAATCAAAAAACAGCTGTTTCTCCAAAAACTGTGAAACAATTAAATGTGTAAACAAAGCAGTGGTACACAAAATTTTTTATACCATAAGCATAGGAATTTTGCTAGAGGAATTTTTATAGTTTTAACATCTCATTGTAAACAATGTCTTCAAGATAGGTAGCAAGTAGATAAGCTTACTATGTGGCATCTGATGTGAGAATTTTTTTAGGAAACATTAATTTTGAATATGTAGAATTGCTTAGATTTCTCAGTAACTTACTGAATACTATGAATAGGTTGTTTTGCTTAGATTTTCTCAGACAAATTATAGATTATAAATTTGTAGTTTGTGTTGGATATTCTCAGGAAAGTTGTCGATTATAAGTATACAGTTTTTCTTATTCAATGTCTTCCTCTGCTTTCTTAGTCTCATCAGTTCCCCTAGAGCTGTTATGGACAGGACCACGGCCTCTCAGATCTGCTCATTATGACATCTTGCATATACACTGCCACTGCAAAATTTTGCTTTAGAGTCAACTCTAACTCCTTGTTTTCAACTAGTGAATATGCTATTCTACTGTTAGAGATAGTCATGTTATTACCAGGTGATCTAGGGCATTTGTTCACTTTGTCCAAGTAAAGTAAAGGCAACCTACTGAAAGTTACTAATAATACTTATGAAATGCTCTATTAATTCTTTTAGAGATTAGAAGAAATCACATCTTAGAAAAATATAGCATACAGATGGTATCTACAGAAAAATAATTGTGCGAACACATTTATTATTAAAATGTCTCCTTGATCTATTGGTATTTATTCAATAGCTCCTTTTTTAACAAGGGGAAGCTATACCTACCACAAAGCAACTTATGCCTTTGCTTCCATCAATCTGCAGATGACATGACATCAGCACAGTAGTCATTGATTTGAAGGCTTTCCTTACCTTTAGTTTCCTTACAGCATCTCTCACAACTTCTGTTCCTTTTGGCTGCTCCACTTCTGTACTGCCAAGAAACTGAAAATGGCCATTTGTGAGACACAGATTTGACTACACCACATATCATCAAACCATTTTGAAGTATAACTTTGCACAATGGAATGATTTGATAGTAATACAAACCCAAATTCTAATTAAAAATATTTGAAAATATATATATATATACCACTTGATCATTTATACTTACTATTACTCCAAAAGGGGTTTTATGGGAGTGGATCCTAGGAATTGAACTCAGGGACTAACACTCTAAGAAGACTCTGCCACTTGAGCCCTGCCCTTAGTCCTTTTGCTTGTAGCTTATTTTTCAGAAAGAGTCTTGCATTTTTGCTCAGGGCTGCTCTATGTCTGCTTCTCGAGTAGCTGAGATTATAGAACTATGTCATCACACCCAGCTTGGTTTTGGGATGGGGTCTTGATACCTGTTGCCTTGGCTGGCTTTGAACTGTCAAACTCCTATTTCCACACCTCTGCTTTGTAAGTAGGTGGGATTACAGGCATGTACCACCATAACTGGCTTCTAACTTTTTTAAAAACACACTTTTCCTAAACATATTACTTGCAGATTTCTAATGACAAAAAAAAAAAAAAACCTAAAGATATCTCATTGGGCCCAAAGGAATTAAGTGGACCTCAATTGTTAAAATTAAGTAAATATATTAATAACTAAAAAAATCTCTAATTCAAAACATCCAAATGCTTTTCATTTGTTACTATATTTAAACTTCAGTAGAATATTCCAGTTTATAATTTCAAGTAATTTCTTTGTTTTCCACTTATAAAACTTATATGACATGTAGAATTTAAAAGACAAAATTTTAATATCAATACACACTATTCGGTAAAACTATATTTAATAGATTTTAAAAACAAAATATATAGGACCTATAATTTAAGTAAGTTTTTAAATAACCCTGAAGGGAGTCACTGAGGATGTTTAGTTAAAACTTTACCAATCCAAACACAGAAAAAATGTTAATAATTACGTTAAAATAAATTTTCTACCTGAAGAGACATAATACCTAAACAGAGGCCAATGCCAGGAAATGTTCAACATCAACTAGACTAGAAATGTGGAGGTTTTATTCTTGAGAAAAAAAAATATGGTGAATAATCATTAAATTCATGAAGCATATATAATTTCCCAGGGGCTTTTTGCTCTTGTCGCGTATTACCAATCATAAAACAAAGAGAGCATGAATTCATCATTTTCCTGTGTTTAGACTAGATACGTGAGTTTGTGTGTGTTCCCTTTACATGAAATGATTAAGTGGGTCATTAAGTGGATTAGGGGAACTGGTGAATGTGATTTCATGTGTTATTTACAGAATGGAAAGGAAGCAAAACAGCAAAGTCATGGTGTCTCTCACTCCTTTCACTCTTGGAACAAATAACACCAAAGGAGTTAGAGTCTCAGTCTTGGAAATAGGCTTCCTGTATTACTAGAATGAGAATTAGCCAGGAAATAAGTTTAAAGTGAAATTGTATATTCTTTTGTAAATAAATCAGAATCTTTTGGAGTAGGGCCAGGGAATTATATTTCTAAAAGCATTTTATGTGATCCCTTGTACTAAGTTTATGGAACAAGGGAGGAAAGAGAGGGTGAGGAGGGGAAAATGCGATCAAAATCTTTTGTCTTTATGTACAAAAGGTCATAATGAAATCCATTTGAAAAAATTCTAAGAAACATGAAAAATGGGAATGAGGGGAAGATAAATAAGAAAAAGTAATAAAGGGGTAAATGTGGTTAAAGTATAGTATATGCATGTATAGAAATAACACAATGAAACCCTCCACATTGTATAATTTGTATGCACTAACAAAAATTTTGGGGGGAAAAAAAACCCAGAAGAGTAAAGTATATGTAACAGTGTTAAAAAACATTGAACAAGCCATAAGGATAATGGAAGGCAGATAAAACAGATGAGTTGAAAACACCGAAGAAAATTCTATTCTCTTTCAGATGAAAACATGGAGGAGAGAAAGTAGAGCTCCTTTGCACTGAGGTAAAGAGGAGTACACCTCAGATTGTATAAAGTACAAGTCTCTTTTCTAATATGCTCAAATTGTGCCAAACAACTGCTACTTGGTCTTAAATAAGATATCTCAGGCACTTAGTTTGTCCCACTGTGATAACAGGTTTTTGAAAGTCTCAGCTTAAGAGGAATTGAAAACCTGCCTCTAAGATGTAGTAGACAGCCAAATCTATTCCTAACTCTGTGGGCTTGTCCATATTGCTTCTGTTTGATATCAGTGTTTTCAACATAGGCTGCATGACAGACTTAACATGCCTATAATTTTAATTTAACTGGTCTGAGGCAGAGCCAGGACATCTGTACGCTTTAATGCTCCCAAGGTGATTTTTATGTGCCATCAGGTTTAAAAAGCTCTGTTTGAGATCATCCAGTAAAGAAAGAAGGTTTAAGTTACAGAAGAGAATTTAACACAATAATAGCTTTGTAGTTAGGTTTAAACCCATAGGGTAGATTCATTTTCTCAACTGAGAATTCATCAAAGCACTAGAGATTCACCATTAGTGGGTGGAATCATATTAGTAAGAACAGGTGGAGGTAAAGACAGAGGGCCTAAGGTGTCAATTCCACAGTGTGAGAGAAACTAGCAATATTTCTAGAAGAATATTCATGGTTTCACAGAAATGTCAAGTCATAATCATTATATGCAAACAGACCTATATGGGAAAATTATTGAAGAATTCCAAGAATATTCTGAATGAATCCACCTCTAGCAGTGCTCTAAGAACCTGGCTTTAAATAAACCAACTGAATAATAAAACACTGGGTAATGGTTAGAATTAAACTAAAAGTTATCTTAATGTGGACTTTGCTACTTCAATTTTTTTTTTATGTAAGAAATCATTTTAGAGTTGGATATGGTGGTATAGGCTTAAACTCCCAGGATTTAGGAGACTGAAACAGGATTACAAATTCAAGGTCAACCTGAGCTACATACTGAGATTGTCAAAAGAGAGAGGTGGAAGAAAGAAAGGAGGAAGGAAGGATTTTAAAACTGAAAAATACTTTATTCCTTATAATATCTCCTGTGTGCCTTTGGTCAATGAAGTCCTTTGCTAGTAGTGAGAGCCTGAATCACCTGGGAGATTTTTGCACCCATTACCCATATCACCAAGTTCCTTAGCCAGTGGCTAAATTAGTGTGGCGGTAGAAAAGTCTAGCTCCTTTGCTTGGAGGTGGGGCAAACAGTGTAATGCAGAGTTTCTCTTGGACTCAGGCTAAGGCCTAGACTCCACCTAATATATTCTTTTCCTTGATTCCATCTCCTTGCCTGCTTGCTTTTCCTACTCTTTCATAGAATTTACCAAACAGCACTCATTTAGCAAATTACAGGCACACAAATCTTTGTGTAGGGAGTCTAATTATGGAAAAACTGACTTAAGACACTGGTCATATGCTTAAATGCTCACATTCAAGAAACATATTATCTCGTAAACAAACCTACAAATAACCAAAATACTCTACCATGAGTAGCATTAAAAGACTTGTAAAAATATACAGGTTAGATATAAGACTTTGGTTTGCATCTTTTCTACTCTGCCTATGCTTGAATGGGGGTGGTGGGGGAAAATGAAACTGAATGGCCAATGCCATGACCAGGAAATTAATCCTCCCTAGAAGAGCCCTTAGTTAAATTTGGCCAGAGAACCTATAAGATGCAAAATGTTAGGTGTGGCTGAGAACAAAAGTTAGGCACCTACTGAAGAAAAGATACCAAGCAAAAATCTGCAGGCTGTAATGAAAGTCACTTATATATTTCAAGGCTTAAGAAAAAATAAGACAACTTGTGCTAACACTTGACACTTTCATATGAATTAGATGGGTCACATGATCAACACCAGTTGACAATTCCTGTTTATCAATCACCATTTAATACAGAATTCCCAGTTGGTTTTTAGAGTGCCTCAGTCTTAAATATCAAAACATAGCAAACGTGTACATATTTTAGAAAAACCTCTTGCATGAAAAACTGAGAGAGCAAAGATACTGGAACTAAAAGAATGGGGATAAGGCAGAGAGAAAGCAAGGAGACAAAAGATGGCTAAAGCTGTGAAATTAATAAAAAATATTGCATTTATGATAAAAACAGGATGGTTGAAAATGCAGAATTTAGAGAATGAAACAAAGCACACAGAAATTAAAAGTATGACTCAAACAATTTAAAAAGTAATAATATTAGGAGAAAAAGTTGAAGAAATCCATCGAGAACTAATTATGGGATGGTGACCATTTTTCATGCAATATTTTTGATGTTGGGAAGATAGCAGAGAACAAAACTGAGCAAGTTCCCTGCCCTTATTGAGTTTATACACTAATAGGGAAGATAAACAATACACAACATAATATAAATAAGAAAACTACATAGTACTTTAAAAGAACTGTGGAGAGGCAGAGAGCAGGCTGAAGGAGTGAAAGGACATGAAGGAAGAAAATTATTAGTTTTCCAGTAACAAAGTTAAGATTTCCAGACAAAAGGACTCAGTTCCATCATTACAGTGAGTAAAAACACATATGCAAGCACAGATAGGGTCACCATCAATATTATAGAAATAAAGAGAGATTATAAAAAACCCCAGAGAGAAATAAAACCAACAAAACCCCTCAGGACCATGAGTCTAAATGACACCAGGCTTCTTCATATTGGTTGTAGAAATAAAATGACATCAAATTCTGAGGAAAGTTTTGTTTTGGGATAAGTTTCCAGGATATGAGGGAAAACAAATCAAACTGATATGTATATAAGCCAAACGTATTTCCCTCCCTTGCACCAGGTCTCAATAACTTTTATTTTTTAAGGCAGTAAAACAAAACAGAGGGAGACATTGTATCTAAGGACACAAAGCAGGAGGGTGTGGACAGTCACAATTGAACAAAGTCTAGCAATGCACAGTACAGCTATACACAAAAGAAACACACCAAAGTAGAAAGCATTTGCTTTGGTGAGACTTGGGGAAAGAAATGAAACTTTCTTTTTCCATCATAAGG